ATCTTTTCTGTCTATGGAGAGGAAGATCTCCCTCTTTCAATTTCCCTTCCTACCCTACTCCCCTTCACATGTGCACACAGAAGAAATACGAGGTGCCACATGGAAAGGAGACATGGGTTCAATCCCTGGTTTGGGCAGATCCCCTAGAGGAGGAACTGGAAAAATACTCCATTATTCTTGCCTGGAAAATCCTGTGGACAGAAGACCCTCATGCACTACAGTCCAAGGGGTCGCAAAGAGTTGGACATGACTTAGAGACTTAAAACAACAACCACAACCACAGAGAAGGTTCTATGTTCAGTTACTTGAGATAATTTTGCTTTCTGTAAGGGAATGAACTCTACAAGGAAATCTGAAGCAGTCATTGCATAACCAGCCTGGTATCTTATTTTTCTTTATTATCTTTTGTCTCAAATTTATTTTATTTTAGAGATAATATTTATCGCCAAATAATATTAGGTCATGATTTAGTAAGGAAGTGAACTTCCAGATGTTCAAGCTGGATTTAGGAAAGGCAGAGGAACCAGAGAACAAATTGCCAACATCCACTGGATCATCAAAAAAGCAAGAGAGTTCCAAAAACACATTTACTTCTGCTTTATTGACTAAGCCAAAGCCTTTGACTGTGTGGATCACAATAAACTGTGGAAAATTCTTCAAGAGATGGGAATACCAGACCACATGACCTGCCTCTTGAGAAGTCTGTATGCAGGTCAAGAAGTAACAGTTAAAACGACATGGAACAACAGACTGGTTTCAAATAGGGAAAGGAGTACATCAAGGCTATATATTGTCACCCTGCTTATTTAACTTATATGCAGAGTACATCATGAGGAACGCTGGGCTGGATGAAGCACAAACTGGAATCAAGATTGCCGGGAGAAATATCAATAACCTCAGATATGCAGATGATACCACCCTTATGGCAGAAAGTGAACAACTAAAGAGCCTCTTGATGAAAGTGAAAGAAGAGAATGAAAAAGTTGGCTTAAAACTCAACATTCACAAAGCTAAGATCATGGCATCTGGTCCCATCATTTCATGGCAAATAGATTGGGAAACAATGGAAACAGTATTTTGGGGGGCTCCAAAATCACTGCAGGTGGTGACTGCTGACATGAAATTAAAAGACACTTGCTTCTTGGAAGAAAAGCTATGACCAGCCTAGACAGCATGTTAAAAAGCAGAGACATTACTTTGCCAATGAAGGTCTGTCTAGCTATGGTTTTCCAGTAGGCATGTATGGATGTGAGAGTTGGACTATAAAGAAAGCTGAGCGCCAAAGAATTGATGCTTTTGAACTGTGGTGTTGGAGAAGACTCTTGAGAGTCACTTTTACTGCAAGGAGAGCCAACCAGTCCATCCTTAAGGAAATAATTCCTGAATATTCATTGGAAGGACTGATGTTGAAGCTGAAACTCCAATACTTTGGACACCTGATATGAAGAACTGCCCCATGGAGAAGACCCTGATGCTGGGAAAGATTGAAGGTGGGAGGAGAAGGGGATGACAGAGAATGATATGGTTGGATGGCATCACTGACTCAATGGACATGAATTTGAACAAGCTCTGGGAGTTGGTGATGGACAGGGAGGCCTGACGTACTGCAGTCCATGGAGTCACAAAGAGTTGGACACAACTGAGTGTGTTGGCCATCTGGTGATTTCCACGTGTAGAGTCTTCTCTTGTGTTGTTGGAAGAGGGTGTTTGCTATGACCAGTGCATTCTCTTGGCAAAACTCTAGTAGCCTTTCTGCTTCATTCTGTACTCCAAGGCCAAACTTGCCCGTTACTCCAGGTGTTTCTTGACTTCCTACTTTTGCATTCAAGTCCCCTATAATGAAAAGGACATCTTTTTTTGGGTGTTAGTTCCAAAAGGTCTTGTAGGTCTTCATAGAACTGTTCCACTTCAGCTTCTTCAGCATTACTGGTTAGGGCATAGGCTTGGATTACCGTGATATTGAATGGTTTGCCTTGGAAACAAACAGATATCATTCTGTCGTTTTTGAGATTGCATCCAAGTACTGCATTTCGGACTCTTTTGTTGACCATGATGGCTACTCCATTTCTTCTAAGGGATTCCTGCCCACAGTAGTAGATATAATGGTCATCTGAGTTAAATTCACCCATTCCAGTCCGTTTTAGTTTGCTGATTCTTCGAATGTCGACATTCACTCTTGCCATCTCCTGTTTGACCACTTCCAATTTGCCTTGGTTCATGGACTTAACATTCCAGGTTCCTATGCAATATTGCTCTTTACAGCATCGGACCTTGCTTCCATCACCAGTCACATCCACAACCGGATGTTGTTTTTGCTTTGGCACCATCCCTTCATTCTTTCTTAAGTTATTTCTCCACTGATCTCCAGTATCATATTGGGCGCCTACTGACCTGGGGAGTTCATCATTCAGTGTCCTATCTTTTTGCCTTTTCATACTGTTCATGGGGTTCTCAAGGCAAGAATACTGAAGTGTTTTGCCATTCCCTTCTCCAGTGGAAGTTAGCACTTCTTAATACATTTAATATAGTTTCATTCGCAGGATAAAGCCCTACCTATTAAATATATGGGGGTTTCTTTTAGGGAAATGTTAAATTAGTCATTTACTTTTGACATACCAAAAATTCCCCACTGAAACCCAAAGATATCTTTTGTGAAAATTTGCTGTTTATTACGTGCAAGAGTTACACTCATACTGAGAGTACAAAGAGGAAGTGAAAGTTCTGCCAGTGGGAGCTTGTGACTTTGGCAGAGACAAACCCATGACAAACAAAGAGGCCACTACACCCAGTCATAAGTATGAATGGTGTCCTGCTCGTAAGTGAGGCATTGAACTCATCAACCAAACAGAGATGAGAAAGAAAACGTATGATCAATTACATGATAATACTTATGTACTAAACAAAGTGGTTTTCTTTCACAAATTAATACAATGTCAAATATCCTCATGAAGGTTTTGGTGAGAGACCCAAGACGAATGTGACCAAATATATTTGCACAAATTGGCTATGGTCTAATGGAGCCCCACCCATTAGTTAGTCTTTGGGGCTGGCATGGGTTGGGGTTTATCAAGTCTGTGTCTCCATGTATTTGCTTTGGATCACTATCTTCTAATAATTAAAAAGCATGAAACTCAGGAATACACAAACACACATGATATAAGACTTTTTAAAAAAATAGACAAAAGAAAAATGAGTAAATGAAGTAGTGGAAGAATAAGTACATTGACAGAATATTTGTTAAATGCTGTGCTGCCAAACCGAAAGGTCCAATGATTTCACATCTAATTTCATACACATCTTTAAATACTAAAATAAATTCTATAAAACCTCAAAGAAACAAGTCAGAGCTCAAGTTGTTCTTGGGACAGCTTCACTTGGAAGTGAATCAGGAAGACAATCTGGGTCATGCACAAGAAGCTGTAGGTTTGTACCTGTTGGTTCAAGGGTCTCAAAAGACACCCCTAAACAAGTCTTTATGATGATCTTGCTCGGAGCTGTTTTTGAAGGCAGAGGTCATCATGCAATATCTTGTGCTGGCAAACTACATGGTGAGAGGAGGCACTGTGCTTATGGGACTCAGTGTCTTTCAAAAAAGAAAACTGCTAATTTTATTTATTTATTTTTAATTAATTTTTATTGCAGTATATTAGATTTACAATGCTGTGTTTTTATTTATAGTTTTGGGAAGCATGTAGTTCAGGGACAGCAGATTTTCAGAAATAGGAGTGTTTATAACTAGTATCTAGTTATATCTAGTGTGGTTAGTATCTAGCCACACTCACAGGCTTTCTGAAGTGTGTCTGTTGCTGATTGGCTGATTTTCATAAATGTAAGGCCACCCTTAATTGGCTGGTTTTAACTGTGGTTAGTGATGTAGACAGTCATTGGCCAATTGCGATAAATTTAAAACTGGTTCTGGTAATTATAGTTTGCAATTTTCAAGACAGTTTTTCCCAGAAGGATAAGATTTTTTTTTATCTTATTCTTAAAGCTTAAAGTAGAAAAATAAAAGTAGAGAAAGCAGTTCAGTCCAGTTCAGTTACTCAGTTGTGTCCGACTCTGTGACCCTATGGACTGCTGCTCTCCAGGCCTCCCTGTCCATCACCAACTTCCAGGGTTTACTCAAACTCATGTCCAGTGAGTCGGTGATGCCATCCAACCATCTCATCCTCTGTTGTTCCCTTCTCCTCCAGCCTTCAATCTTTCCCAGCATCAGGGTCTTTTCAAATGAGTCAACTCTTTGCATCAGTTGGCCAAAGTATTGGAGTTTCAGCTTCAACATCAGTCCTTCTAATGAACACCCAGGACTGATCTCCTTTAAGATGGACTGGCTGGATCTCCTTGCAGTCCAAGGGACTCTCAAGAGTCTTCTCCAACACCACAGTCCAAAAGCATCAATTCTTCAGTGCTCAGCTTTCTTTATAGTCCAGCTCTCACATCCATACATGACTACCGGGAAAACCACAGCCTTAACTAGATGGACCTTTGTTGGCAAAAGAGAAAGCAGATGAGGTACAAAAGATGGGAAAAAACATGGCTCTGTTGGACCTCAGGTGAGATTACTGGAGCAGATGTACTTTTTTTCTGGAAAGCAGTTTACCTTAGCTCAGAATATCAGTATGCAACATGAAAACACCAGGAACTCTATCCTAATTACGTCTCAGGATCTGTAGACAGTTATGTTCTTGTTTCCCTTCAGTATCTAGCAGACTAGAAGCTCTCCAAATGCATACAGAAGAAGATTCAGAAGAGCTAAGTTCTAGCCCACTCTCCTATGATGGCCAAAGTAATTATGAATTTTAAAAAAGCAGAAACAAAGTTCTGGTAAAGATAAAGAGATAAAGGGAAACAGGGAGACTTAAAGAAAGAGTTAGATGTGGGGAACATCAAAGGAAGATTTCAGAGGAAGAAGTAGAAAAAAGGGGATCAACAAAAAGGGGTTCAGAAAAGAGGATCACTGGGGAAATAAAAAATCTTCATAAGCCTTGATTTTGGCCCAGGAACAGAGCTACCAACTTTTGGAAATAAGTGCTCCTGTGTGATGTGCTTCTCTAAAGATGTGCCCAGAAGTCCAGAAGGAAGAACTGAAAGTACGCAAGCTGATGACATGATAGGTAAGGCTGCCTGAGGGCGGTGAGGTGGGGGTGGCTCCACTGGCAGCACAGACCCAGGTAGGGTGGTGGCAGATGGAAGGAAGGAATAAGGAATATGGGTGGCTTCCAGTCTATCCCAGTATCCTGATCTCTGCATTTGCTTGACCTGATCCTTTTGGGAATAGCAGGAAAGCAAGAGATCATTATAAAATTGTGTTTAAGGGATGGCCTGTGTTGATTATACATGGTTGATGTACTAATTGGGCTTCCCTGGTGACTCAGATGGTAAAGAATCTGCCTGCAATGCAGGCAACATGGATTTGATCCCTATGTTGGGAAGATCCCCCAGAGAAGGGAATGCCAACCCACTCCAGTATGCTTGCCTGGCAGGCTACTGTCCATGGTGTTGCAAAGAGAAACACACTCTTTAAAGTGGCAGTTTATTGTTTATTACATCAGTATATTGCTAACAAAGTTTTGTGATTTGCAGTGATTTCTATCCCTGTCACCCAAGAAAGTCAAGTGTATGTCCATTAGTAGATAATAGTGTCATTTTGTCACAATCTTAGAAAGGTCTCAAAAGATAGCTAGTCCTGCCACTTAGTTGTCAGAAGGAAAGACTTCAGATCAACTATTCTTAACCAAGCACATGTGTTTGATAAATATTCTCCAGCATGTCACTTGTTTATATAGTGATACCATTCACTTTTGCATATAAGGCCTTATTTCATCCTAATAAAATTCTTAAGGACTAGACAAACATCCCTGAGTAAACTGAAATTTACAGATATTGAAGAATGTTTTTCAAAGTCCCATTAAGGAACAATGGAAGACCCAGGGTCCTGGGCTCCCATGTCTCAATTCAGTAGGTTTGATTCCTTTACAAGAAAGAGAGATGAGGCCCCCAGCCGCGCGGGACGCCTGTTATAACCGCGGCTCGCCAGCGCCCCGGAAGCTGCCCCTTCTCGGGGGTCATGATGGGCAGCAAGATGGCGTCTGCCAGCAGGGTCGTTCAGGTAGTCAAGCCACATACTCCATTAATAAGGTTCCCTGACAGAAGAGACAATCCTAAAGCAAATGTATCAGACGTTCTACCATCAGCAGGACTACTATCGCATACTTCCTCAATTTCGCAGCATTCTAAGGGAAGTAAATCGCCAGACTGGCTGATGCATCAGGGTCCACCAGACACTGCAGAGAAAATAAAAACTTTACCTCAGAAATACAGACGGAAACTTATCTCTCAAGAAGAAATTTAATTTATCCAACGTGGAGGTCCGGAATAATCACTGACAATGAGGCTGCAATGAGAAGGGACAATGAGACTCTTCTTTTAGAAGAGTCTTTCTAAAAAAGGACTTCCAGAATGACAAATGAAAAATTGTATATTAAACAACTTTAATAAATATTCTGTAAAAAGAAAAAAAAGATGAAGTATAGAAAATTTAGATGGACACTTACATCTCCTAATTTATGTATCTTGGTCAGCTTCTCTAGAAGCTTATACCTTAATTAAAGTATACATTTTAAAATGTTAGCCTAATAATTTACTTTTGATTATCAAGCATAACAGTGTTGAACTATTGAAAGCACACAATGTCTAGTGAACCGTCAAAGGCTTCCAGTAATTTCATTTTTCTTTCACTTTCCGTTTAAATAATATATTTGGCAGAATTGCAGCTTTCTGGAAGTAATTTTCCTAAACTTGAATGAGGATCCATGAAATAGTAACTCCATTATTTGTTCTTACTTCTCAGTGTTTTTGCATTCACAAAGTTACTGGAACATAACTGGCTTATTAACAAGCATATCCTACTCTAACTGATAAAAATATACCCATGGTAAAACAGTTGACTTTGTGATATTAAGACTAGGGAGTTAACACATGGCATTATATGTAACCTGTATTCAGAAAATGACGGAGTATAAAATGGAAAATGAGATCAAAATGAATATAGCATAGGAATAACATTTGACCAGAAATTGTAATTTATTATGTTTTCAGGGGGGGTAAGAAACTCTTGTTCTTTGGCTTATCTCTTTGTTTTGATTGTGATCATGTATACAAATCCTGATAATCATAAACTTTCTCAAACTTAATTGTCTGAAAGTCTCATAAAATCAACCTATTTACCTTAAGGCAATTAATAGAATTTTGATAGGGTCTTCCTGTACCAAGGGTATGTATAATTGTGAAAGTAAAGCCTCACAAAGTGAAATAAATTCTCTTCCATACCTTTAAAAGAAAAAAAGAAAAAGAGAGATGATAACCCAAACATCTTTATAAGTTCAAGCCTTCTGCAGTATGAATCATCTTAAGATTTGTAACCTTTATTTATTTATTTTTGTTTCCATACCATGTGTTTTTTTCTAGATATGGCGGATCTTGGGAACAACTCTACTGTGAGAAAACTCAAGAGGAGAAGAAGTAAGAATGCATGCAATTTTATTTGCTTTTGATATTAAAATGAGTTTTTAATGCCAGTTTCATTCATTATTATTATATAATAATGTGTTAATAATATGAAAACTCCATAAACGTGTCTATATCCTAATCTCTGGAACCTGTAATCTGTTATCTTACATGGCAAAAAGGATTTTATACGTATGATTAAGATAAGGATCTTGGCAGTGGAGATTATCCTGCATTTTCTGGGTGCACTCAGTATCATCAAGTGGGCCTTAAAATATGAAGAACTGTTCCTGACTGTAAAGAGAGGAAGAAGTGATTATGGAAGATAGTCACAAAGAGATGCAATATTGCCAGCTTTGCAGATGGAAGGAAAGAATAAGGAATATTGATGGCTTCTGTTAACAGAAAGTGAAAAAAAGAAAGGAAAGAAATTTCCCTGTCCAGCCTCCAGACAGGAATGAAGCCCTACTGAAACCTTGATTTTAGCCCAGAGTGACCCTTGTCAGACTTCTAACCAACATAACTATAAGATAATGAACTGTTTTAAGCCCGTAAATTTGTGGTCATTTGCTGTGGTGCCAATAAAAGAGTAATATGGATTTTGGTTATTGGAAGTGGGATGCAGCCATAATTCATTCCTAAAAATGTGGAAGTGGCTTTGAATTTGGGCAATGGGCAGAGGGAATTTGGGTAATAAGAATTTTAAGTAAAATGATTAAGTAGTAGATTGGCTTGAACAGTTAGTAGAAATGTGGTGCTGAAGACTGCTTGTGAGGACTTGAAAGTGAAGAGTATGGTAGGAAAAATCTATGTCATTTTAGAGAATATGTAAATCATTATGAAAAGGCTGTTAGTAGTAATATAGAGGCTAAAGGTGTCATAAAGGAAATAAGGAACATGTTTTTGAAAATAAAAGGAAAAGGGATCCTTACTATTTAGTGGCAGAAAGCTCAGCAAAATTAAGTTGTGCAGTTATGTGGAAAGCAGAATTTTTTTGATACATAGCTAAGGAGATTTCTAATTACTATGATAAAGGTGCAACTGGTTTCATGTTGCTGCTTAGAGTAAACTACAAAAGGAAAGAGGTAAGTCAAGGCAAGAGCTGCTAAACAAAAGGAATCAGGACTTGATGATTTAAAAATTTTTTAGCCTATTCAGATTGCGAAATTGCTAGTTAGGAGAGTCAGTGTCAGGAAAGCAGGAAATCACTGCTCTGCAGTGACAACCAGGAGCGTCACTATTTAACTTTTTGCGAATGTCCCAGAAGTAGTGAAACATCAAAGTACTCAGTCACACAAATTGTTCTTCAAAGAGGTTAAGTTTGTGACCCATAGATACCCTCAGCCATCTCAGCAGAAGTGAAAAATGGATATGAGTCTACAAGAAAGGTCTGTGGAGGAGACTCTCGTCTAATGGACGAGATCCTCATGACATACATGGGAGATATAGAAGATTCTTAAGACATTTATACCAACAGAAACAGAGGTGCTTGTTCTAGTCCTTAGAGCCTGTAATCTGTTACTTTACCTGGCAGAAGACACACTGGTGGTGTGATTAAGTTAAAGGATTTTGAGATGGGGAGATTTTTCTAGATTATCTGGGTGGCCCCAATCAAGTCACATGGGTCCTTAAAATCAGAAAACTTTTCCTGCTATGGAGAGAGGGAGATGTGACTATAGAATAATGATCAAAGGAGATACAGTGTGACTGGCTTTGGAGAATAAGGCAGGGAGCAATGAGTCAAGAACTGTGGGCAGCCTTCAGAAACTTGGAAAGGTAAAGAAATCAAATATGCCCTACAGCTTCCAGAAAGAAACAAAGCCCCTAGACGCCTTGATCTTAGATCAGTGAGACTTGTGTCAGATTCCTGGTCTTCCAAACTGCAAGATAACACACTTGCATTGCTTTAAGCCATGAAGTTTATGGTAATTTATAATAGTAACAATAGAGAACTAATACTTTTCATAAGACAAAACAGAAACAAACAAAAACCCCGAGTTTCACCTTTATATCATTAGGTTACAATTTTTTAAAATAGCAATTTATAGTTTTTCAAATCTTATTGTTTTCAAAATTTTTAAATATATGATCTGTATAAATTTTGATTGATGTGTATCTTTCCAGATTTCTCTATGCATGTATTGAGATATTTGCATCATATACTAACACATTATATTATATACTATATATATATATACTATATACTAACACTATAGTATATACTATATATAGTATATAATATAGTATATATTATATATATACTAACACATTATATACTAACACATAAATCTATTTATACTGTTACATTTCCCTTACTTTAAATCAGTATATCATGCATGAGAGATTATAAACATTTAACATTTTGCCAACTTAACTGTAAAAAGTTTTATTTTATTCTGCTTTAATTTGCATTGCTCTCATTTTTATTGCAGTTGAGCATTTTTCATTTGTTATTGGTTATTTGTTTTCCTTCTTCTAAAAATGGATAGTGTGTATGCCTTACCAGTATTGCTATTTTTTTTAAACCATACTGAATAAACATAAGAATATTTGTATATATATTAAACTTTGCCTATGTATACTGTTAGTATTTTATTTCATTTGATGTTATTGTCTTAGGTTTGTTTATAACATATTTTGTCCTAGAGAAATTTGAAAATTTTATATAGTAAGATCTATCAGGATTTTCCTTTATGCCTTCTAGGTTTTGTTTACAATATACAAAGATATTTTCCAACTTGAAATTTTAAAAATACTTACATATACTTCTAAAATATTTGAAGTACTTAATATTTTTAAATGTTTAAATCTATTATTTACAAAAGACTCACCTCTTTGTGTGTGATGTGAAATAGTAACTACAAGGAATCACACCAACTTTTTAAAAAATTGAAATATGCTAATGTACAATATTATATGTTATAGGTATATAATTTTGAAGGTTATACTCCATTTATAGTTATTATAAAATATTTGCTTATTCCCCATGATGTACAATATATTCTTATAGCTTATTGTATACCCAATAGTTTATACCTCTTAATTCTCTGCTCCTAATTTGCCCCTCCCCTCTTAATTCTCCTCACTGGTAAGCATTAGTTTATTCTCTATATCTGTGAGTCTGCATCATTTTTGTTACATTCACTAGTTTGTTGTATTTTTAAGATTCCAAATGGAAGTTATATTATACAGCATTTGCCTTTCTCTATCTGACTTATTTCACTTAGCATAATTTCCTTTCAAATCCATCCATGTTGACACAAATGGAAAAATGTTCATTCTTTTTTATGGCTTAGTAATATTCCATATCTATCTCTATCTATATATCTATCTATATACCACATTTTCTTTTCCCATTCGTCTCTTGATGGACACGTACACTGCTTCCATTTCTTGGCAATTATAAAAATGCTGCTATGAATATTAGGGTACATGTATCTTTTCAAATTAGTTTTTGTGTTTTTTGGCTATACATTCAGGAGTGGGACTGCTGTGTCATATGATAATTCTATGCTTAGTTTTCTGAGAAATCCCCATACTGTTTTCTACAGTGGCTGCACCAACTTACCTTCCTGTAATAGCGTGTGAAGTTCCCCTTTCTCTGTGCTTTTGCTCACCTTGCTATTTGTGTTCTTTCTGATGAGAGCCATTCTGACAGATGTGAGGTGGTTTTGATATGCATTTCTCTGAAGATCAGTGATGTTGAACATCTTTTTATGTGCCAGTGGATGCCAACACTATTTGCTTCATGATTTGAATGCCCTTTTGCATCTTTTCTCATGTTCATGGATCTGTGTCTGATTCTACTCTGAGATGCTGGTCTATTTAGTTTTAATGTGGTACCAAGTTGGTTTAATTATAATGTTTTAAAGTAAAATTTTATATTCCTACTTGTTATATATATATTTTTTTTTCAAAGAAAAACAAAAAATATAGTGAGGAGCAACAGAAAAGGAGATTTCAGAAGTCTGGCAAATCTGGCTCACTCATTGTGCATAAATTTTAGAATCAATCAGTATTTCCTCCCAACACCTCCACAACTGCATTGGAACTTTGAAAATATATTGAATTTGGAGATTAGTTTGGGTAGAGTTGAGGTCTTTACAAGGAGCTTGAGCTCTTCATTTATTCATATCATCTTTTATGTTCTTCAACAAATTTTTAACTTTTGTAAATAGATCTTGCCAATTTTTACTTTCCTAGTCAGTTTTATTGACCTATAATTTCATATACTAGCATTTATCACTGTTAAGGTATGACTGGGTGAGTTTTAACAGACTGACCTCATCAATTCTTTAGAATTTATTGAAGGTTCCTTTGTATCCTAATTTATGGTCAATCTTTGTGAATGTTCTGTGCCACTTAAAAATTGTACGCTTGAACTATTTGTTGGGGTCTGGTTTCTTCCCATATACATAGTCTTATTAAGTACAACTTTTTTGTTTAATTCTTGTGTCTTCTAAATTAGGCTCTATTTGTTCCATCAGGTTTGTATTTAGGTGTGGTAAACTCCCCCACCTGACTGTCTGTGTATTTGACTCCTCACTGTTCTATTGTTTTACTTTCAATACTTTGAGGGTATTCATGACAGTATAACCTAATGAATTTTTTCCATTTATTGTTATACTGTGTTTGTCTTTATCCCTCCTAGTGCTTTTGATATTAAAATCTCTTTTTCTGGGTGCTGATAGTGTAACGTGAACCTTTATGTTTTATGCCTTTTGATGCTTTTTACTCCTTCTACATTAAGCCCATTTTTGCAGCTTTGTTTTATGCCTCTTTTAACAACACTTAGCTTCTTCTAATCTTCTCTGATCTTTTTTTAAAATCCTAACCTTTTAATAGTTAAATTTTATTTGTTTACATTTGTTCTGATTTCTGATATATATTGACTTGTATATCACTGTTCATTTTTATTTTTCTGTGTTTTTGTGTCTCTTTCCTACACTCAAATGGATTGAGAAAGAATTCTATATTCCACCTTTTTTCTCTGCTGGTTTAGAGACTAGAGATGA